CGAAGAAATTTTTAAAGAGGCCGATTAAATGCTTCAGAGTGGAGTAGTTGGATAATCATGAGAAAACTCAGAGTTAATCACATATTAATGTAAGGCTCTTGCGTTATGGTGATCGGAATGGCGTTCTAGTTTATGGACATTTCACCAACTTGAAGAAGATTGCCGAAGAACAAAACGAAAAGATCCCATGCCGTCTCACTTTTTTTAGAATTTCCCCTTCTAGTGAACTAAATGGGCCAAAGAAATCAAATCTAACAACTCAAAAATTTACAAACCCAAACTGAAATTCAGATGCTGACGTGGTGAAACGAAATGTCGTGATTGGCCGATTATTTTTAATGATGTGGATAGCCCCACAAGAGGCAATTACTCTCATTCCCCTAAATCTCATTCTCTAATCTCTCTAGGACACAATTCTTCTTTTAATTATATACTAGGATAAGACATGCGCCTTGCGCAGGGTGAATATACGTAATTAAAATATAAAATTTTAGTATTGATAAATTTAAATTTTACATATAATTGTTTTTATATGTATTTGAAATTTTAGAATTTTGGAATTTTTAAATAATTATCTATACGTAGGATCAGAAACAATTGTAATTAGAACTGTAGATCAAACCTTAGAATTTGATGGACCCGATTTCATATATCTTTTCACTTTTTAGTGTTCGGGTGATGGAAAATAAACAGAGTGTCATTGGGCTTGATTGGTAGAGTATTAGCAAATTTCCTAATGTTTTTTAAGAAGCAATTGGTAAAATAATTGCATTTAAAATATATAAAGTTTCAAAACTAATTTAATATAATTTATTTATTTGTATAATAATATTAGAAAACTATATTTTTTAAAAATTATTATTTTTTAAATAATTTTATAAAAAATTAAGTTAAATTTTAAATTATTTTTAAAAACAATATTTTAAGTTTGTCAAATATAAATAAAAAATTTAAAATTAATTATGGTCATGATTTAACATAACCATAATGATTTAAAAAATAAAAAAAAATAAAAAATTCACAAATTAAAAATTAACTCAGTTTTATATCATGATTTAACAATTTAAAAATTAATTATGGTTATGAGAAGTTTACGTTCACGTGTTAATCCTATTTATCTTCAATTTTTTCCTTTGTTGTGTTTTTTTATATTTTGGTTATTACTCGATATAAATATTGATTTTGAAGTTTATTCTCATTTCGTTTATTTGTTTTGACCTGAGATTTAGAAAATACTTAACATTTAAAATAATTAAAAAGATACATACTTAGGTTAAGATCTGCACTTTATGCACTAAGTATTTTATATTTATAATTTATTTTATAATTTTCTGCATATCATAAAATAATAAATATATATATTACATAACTAAGAAATCAGTCACTATTATGTAATAAATTGACGTATGCATATAAATTTAACTATCACCCTTGTTTATTCGCAATCAGCGTAAATAAATCAAAATAATCAATCTTATATATTGTATATGATATATAATTAAATTTAAATGATATAAACATAGTAATATGACACACTTTTAATACTGATATGTATTAAATGAGGTTTCTACTCATATGATTTTATGATTATTTGCATATTTGTGTAACAAAACTTTACACCAACGATTTTTTTAATGTGAGATGTTTAGTAGTTTTAATAATTTATAATCATTTTAAAAAAATGACATATTTCAAAATTAAAATATTAACTTTTAAATATATGTTGAAGACAATCAAAATATAAGTATGTATTTTCATACGATTTATAGTTTAATTAAAACGATATGAAATATATATATATATATATAAACTAAAATTATTTCTTCATATGGTCTTATAATCATTATATTTTAATATAGAAAACAAATTAAAACCTTGATCCTAAAAGTTTATGTGAGACTTTTAATAATTTTAGTAATTTATACTCATTTTGAAAAATTCGAAATACATCATACACAAAAAAAAAAATCTAGATTTTTATTATATGATTAATTTAATTGTGTAATTTATTTTAATAATGAATAAATAAACAAAATGACAAAAAGTATACAGATTGTTATCAAATCTTTATTGTTTAAAATCATTAATTGCCATATATATATTTTAATCACATTAGGTAATTCCGTATGTTTTATTTAAGGAAAATATGCGAACAATAAATATTTGATATATGCGACCAACTATAGTCTACGAAATATTATATTGCTAGAGAATATAATTTTTAGACTATACATTATATCACATGTTCTAGAATCCTTGGGATTTGAAATAGAAGCCAAATAGCTATGCCACATAAGATTGGGTTTATTTTTAATTCTTACAAACTTTAGGTTACAACTTTTTAAATGATTCTCAAATAATATATAGGGGATGTCAAACGAAAAACATAAATTAAACTTGAAACGTGAATATTTTTTATTTGATTTATAGAATTTGATAAAATATTTCAAAAATCAAAAAACGTTTTTTTCATATTTTCACCAAAAACATCAAAATATGATTAAAACGATTTTAAAATATTTTTTCGAATTTGAAAGCTATAGAATTTAAATATATGCCCATGGGTTCACTCATCCATTGGGGGGGGGGTTGTTTAATTTTGAACACCGGGGAGGATTTTATTTGGGGGTTTAGGTTTTGATCAAAAAAGAATTATGAAATAGGGGTATAAGAGATCACGTGAGCCCATATGAGATTACCTCTAAGAAAATAGGGGTACAGGAGAAGTTGACTCGCCTCACAAGGTTTCGTATTCACCTTTTAATACTTGTTTGATGGGTGTGAGAAATGAAGCGACAGTAGAGGAATCAGTTTTAAACACTCGGAGAAGGAAAAGACATAGAACGGATTTGCTTAATGAGATTGAAGTTGGGGAAATTGCCAGAAATAACACTTTCAAGATACCACTTTTCAACTTTACACTAACCAACTTTACCACTAAAATTTTAATACTCAAAATACTATTAGAATTTATGGTTTAGGGTTTTGGGTTTAGGATTGATAGTTTAGGGTTTAGTGTTGATTTTTTAGGGTTTAGGGTTTACTTTTTAGGGTTTAGAGTTTAGGGTTTAAGGTTTAGAATTGATATTTTAGGGTTTAGAGTTGATTTTTAGGGTTTAGGGTTTAATTTTTAGGGTCTAGAGTTTAGAATTGATGTTTTAGGGTTTATGATTAATATTTTATTTAATATTTATTTTATGTATATATATAAAGAATAATGATATAAGAGTCTTTTATCCTTTAATAAAATGTGTATTTTTGAAAATGTTTCTTTGTTGATGGTAAATATGAAAAGTGGTACCACCAAAGTGATATAATTGAAATTCTCCCTTAAAGTTGAGCTGAACATTGTTATGAGAAGTCTTAATTCAGAGAAAGAAGATAGTCTTTGGAGAAGGAGGTCAGGGTTTAAGCAGAGTTTCTCATCACATGAAACTTGGTTATTGTTGAGAGAGAGTAAGGCTCAAAGCGATTGGGCTCGTGGCATTTGGTTTTCTTAAGCCACTCCTAAGTTTGATTTTATGGCGTGGTTGTCAATACGTGACAGAATGTCGACGTTGGATAGAACTGCAAGATAGAGTCAGGGACTAGACAATACTTGCGTTCTCTGTAAAAATGCCACAGGATCGAGAAACCATTGTTTTCTAGTGTTTCTACACTGGCCAGGTTTGGGAACATATAGCCAAGGGTATTTTGTGCAACTCGTTATAACAGATGGGACTAGGGAGAAGATGAGCTGGTTTTGTATTAGGTATGTGTTTCAGGCGGTACTGTATGCAGTATGGCGAGAACGAAACAAGATAAAACATGGTGATAAGTTGCTGCCTATGCCTGTTCTAATCAAAATGATTGATATAGGGATCCGTAATAAGATCAGCTTGATGAGAATGAAAGGAGCAAAGGGTATGGAAAAGCTGATGCAGTATTGGTTTCAGACAAGAAAGTAATTTTTATTTTTCTTAGTGATGGGTAGTTGATGAGCTTTGAAATATGCTACTATAATAAAAAGTAAGCACTTGATGTATATAGGTTTTATTGATGAATACAATTTAACATTCATTCAAAGAAAAAAGAAACAACACGACAAAGCAAGAAGGAGAAGGAGAAGGAGAAGGAAAAGGAACCAAGTGAAGCACCTGCAACACGTTCGTTGGGGAAGCTACGCAATACAGAGAGCATTGTAAGACTGATTGGCACAAACACACCTTAAAGCGCAGGACTCGTAAACTGCCTTCTCTTACTGCTGAAGAATGCATGGCTGAGATTGATAAGGACGACTCTAAAGCAGATTTTAAAGACTACTCTTTCTGAAATTTACAAATTTTGCATTTAGTGCCTTCTTTTGTTTCAAGTTTGATGTTAAATGCAATATCTTGTAGTCGTATGAACACACAAACTTGTGGGGCTGATCAATGGGTTTTTTTTCCATAATACCTTGAATGAATTTTGTGTGAAATTACCAGAGCCTTTCTGAGTCTATAAAGTATGATGGTTATCGTGTTTAGAGTATTTTAATAATAGACATTTTGGATTTTAGACATTTGAGCTAGAGTTTTGATAGAACCAATCATAGGATTAGAGTCGAACATGAGGTTTGTACTGTTTTGGTCGAGAGAAGCGGTATATAACGACATTGTCAAAATTTAGGGAAGTTTCAATTAACATATCGAAGATGAGATAGATGAAGGATACACGCACATGATCCATGGCCTCCATGATGATCCAACACCCAAAGAAAGATGTACGCTAGAACTATAAAAGTAAGAGAAAACTCCCCAAGATTGAAAAAAAAAAGAAAGAAAACCAGCAACTCGAATTGGTATTTGTGGTTCTGGACGAGGCGACCTAGAAACCATTTGTTGTACAAAGATTTTTAACTCTTCCTTTTCTTAAGCACAGCATAGCGTAGCGGCTTATGGCCTAACCCTTATCCTGAGTTCGTGATGGGCTTTGGAAGCAGATAACATTACCCGTATTCGAAAGTCTCTTACTCTTCATCATCATACGTTCCAATCACACTGAAAATTGTCGTAACCATGGACTGCTCCTAAGAGTTGGTTCCCAAGATCCGGTTGCACGTTTGGACCCCTCACCATAATCCCAACTCCTTCATTCATAAGACTACTACTGTTCTCGTTAATATTCATACCCATGGACTGAAGCATTCCAACACCAAACCCATCAGCACCTCCAATACTTGTGTTGCTGTTATTGTTTACTTGACCGTTCATCAACAGAACACCAGAGCTATTTACATTACTACCTCCCTTCCCGTCATTCACAAAAGACCCATGCCCACCAACCATGCTACCTCCTCCTGATGTATTATGAGCTTGATTGTTCATCAGGATCTCATTAAGTATCTTCTGCACCGAGCTAGAATCATTTACTTCATTAATAGATGTTATTCTGTTTTGAGATGGATTGTTGTTGTTAGATGAGGAAGTTGGAGACTGAAACGATGGCAGGTTGGGTTGTTGTTGTTGCTCGGATGATGGCGTCATGGTACCCGAGGTGCTTGGTGACGCCATCTGAACTGAGTTTCCACCATATGGACTGCTTGGAGTATTGTCAGTAGCATTCATCCCTGCGAGGCTGCTTGTGGAGGTGAATGCAGAAGCTGCATTAAAGGCATAATTTACTAAGTTCTGCCCAGAAATCTGATCGTTGTTTGCAATCTGGGCAACTGATTGCTTCTGCTGCTCATTTAGCTGTTCATTGGGTTGCTGAGCAGAAGGACCAGGCAGTCCAGACGCAGGACCTGTTCTTCGTGGAAACTTGGCTAAACTCTCTGTACCAAATAAAATAAAAACGAGAAAAAAAGAAAATTTGACACGAGATATCTATCAGTCACGCGTTAGATTCAGCTGTTGCGATGAAAAAGGGCAAACGAACAAAAACAGATTTAGATTCATAAAAGAAATAGATGCTTGGAAGGAGCCACATTTTACTTACCGATTGGTCCTGTTCTTGTTTCTCTGCTATAATCTATTAAGTCCTTCATACTATTTACAACCTCCGAGATCTGAAACATTGCAGAAGATCAATAAGCATTAGTATTATTGCATGGTCATGTTAAGAGGACTTGGTTTAATTATCTTCATCCGTTGAATGCAAAGCAAAGCTCTATGCAAGTTGAAATGGCACTTACTCACATTGAGATATTATTCAATTATCCATATATACCTGCAAACACCGAACATATCTCTTTGTGTATCCCAAATCATTCACGAGTGGTACTTCTAGGGCCTTTGCCAACTGTCTGGCAGATGCAACAAACCTGCATAACAAAAGAAGCACGTCAGAGATAACCAATAGAAAGTTGAATAACAGAGAGAGATGAAGTTTACATGTTGCAATTGTTTTGCAGCTCCGGAAAAGCAGAATCAGTTGTTGCATTTTGTGCGGCTTGTTGATATTTCTGCGCTGCTGACCCAAGCTGACTAACCTGCACATGATAATCCTAATTACCTAAGCAGTTTTTGTTGATTTTGAGGTAATTTTCCCAATTTTACATAAGAAAGAAAAAAGTGAAGTGATAAAGTTAAAGAAAACTCAAAACGAAAGTAAAACAGACTAAAATAGTGCAAGGAAACATATCCTACTTTGTGACAGCATATAGAAAGTATTTCCTATGATAAACATATTATGGATCCGATCTATCAGTTTTGTCAGAAAGATAAACCCAAAAGATGCAGTTTCAATTACGAGAACACAAACATCTTTCTGGAAGTTACCTGCGGTATCAAGAGTCGTCGTGGAATAAGCTCTTCATGCCGCCGAGCACAGAATTCCCAAGAGAATATCTGAGAAGGAAAATACCAAAAGAAAAATATAGGGCTTGGAGAAAAGAAAAATTTGTAGAGAGAGAGAGAGAGAGAGATAAAGAGAGTAATTTGAATAACCTTAAGATCTGGTGAGAAAACTATTCGAAGTTGGCCATCACGAACAACTCGAAGCTGCTCAAACACACTCTCTTGGGTCGCTTTTGCATACTCCAGGACAATTTGACCAGATGAATTCTGAGACTCCCTTGGCATATCGACATATAAAAGTTCTTCCAAAGTCCCACTTTCATACTTTATCTTAAATAGCCGCGGGAGCACTTCCGCGGTTGCCTCTAAACAATGAAAAGAGGGAAAGCAAACAAAAGGATCCGTAAGGAAGGACCACAGAAATTGTTAGAAAAAAAAAATTCTAAAAGCACTATCCTCCAAATAACATACCAAAACCACGTCCAGGCTTTCGGTTACATATCTCACAGTGCCACACATCCTGCAATGTAGGTGAATAAACATCTATTCAAAAGAACTGCTTGGTTGCATGAGACCAGAATAGCAAAAGAAGATGAAAATGACAAGTAAGAGCATGTTTCTAAGTGAGCAGTAAAC